CTCTTGAATCTCTCCCATGCTTCGCTGAATCCTTCCAAGTTCTTTTGCTGAAAGCTGGATATCTCATTTCTCAACTTGGCAGTCCTTGAGCTAGAGAAGAATTTCTCCAAGAATGCTCTCTTGCACTCATCCCAGGTAGTGATAGAGTCACTAGGTAAGGACTTCTCCCATTGACGTGCTTTATCCCCCAAAGAGAAAGAGAATAGCTTCAGTTTGAATGCATCCTCGGACACACCATTGGTCTTTGACAAGCCACAGTAGCTGTCAAACTTGTCCAAGTGATCAAATGGGTCTTCAACAGGTAACCCATGATACTTGTTGTTCTCGATCACGTTGAGGTGTCATGTTTCACCTCAAAGTTGTTGGCTTCCACAGCTGGCGCACGGATTCCCAACCTATTGCCATGAAGGTTCGGACGGTCATAAGTGCCAATAGGTCGAGCTGGCGAGGTGGGTGAACTTGGTTTTGCCCATTGACGTTAACCGGTGGGTCCATCTCAGTATACAACCTCTGCTGTTGTGCAAGTTGCGCTGCTTGTTTTCTCTGTCTTGACATCTCTCTTTCGAAAGCCCGGATGTCTGGAACTCTTGGAACAAGGTTTGTTGTGCCTTTTCTCCTCAAGTTCATACACCTGAAATCCAAAAAGAGTTGAAGATAGAGAATCAGTAACAAAATAAAATAAAAATGACTTAGTCTCAAGCAAGTGACTAAATCTCAATGTTTCAATCAACTCAGAATTTGGCAACGGCGCCAATTTGATATTAGGAGTTTTCAAGGCTCCTAAGACAAATGATGTAGTATAAAAGATTGTCGAACCAGTTCTGAGAGATGTAAAAGCACCGAGAATGCAAGTACTAGCTTAATCTAAATGTGATCATGTGGTTGATTGGTTTTTGAATTAAAACTAATATTGAAATGCAGTAAAGAATGCGATGACTGAATAAACTTTAACAATTAAGAGACGGGAGAATCCATGGGTATATGGAATTTGACCTTGGATGATCAGTTTTCGAACTAAGAGTGGCAAGTGATCAATTAAACTATCTACCTTAGGCCTAGACACAATTCTAAACAAGCTCTATGTCTAGATGAATGTTCATTTGCCAACACAATTCAAGCATCAAACTTCTTTGGTTGAATATCATGAAAGCAATCATTAGAAACAAGTCAATTAGCCATCTTAACACCTTTAACAACAAGTATCCTTGGTAAAGGTTGTTAAAAGCTTAGAAGAGTTGACTCAGACATTTCATCGAACACTTTGTGAGTGGGAAATGTCTAAAGATCAACTCTTGAGTGGCCAACTCAAGAGAAGCATTAGGATCACTCTACAAGCAAGGAATAGGAGAAATCTAAACTAAACACTCTAATTCTAGACTAATCATCCTTAGTCTCCCTAACCCATGAATTCAAGGGTGATTTATTCACTACACATCATGATTACTCTTAAACCCATTTTAGATTCAAGTTTAATCATGTAGATGATGAAATAGACAAGCAAAACAATGAATAATGAAATCAATGATCTTAAAAGATGAACTTTCCAATAGGTTTTCAAGTATTTTCTTCAAGAACAAAGATAGATCTCCAATGGTGGCTTACAGAGTCTTTAACTTAGTTTTTTCCAACTCAGAATATAAAAACGAAATTGCAAAAAGATCCCTAAAACTGAAGTTTTTCGTCACACAAAATACGCGCAGCGGGGTCACTACACCGCTGCACGACCCCGCTCCAGAGCTCACAGCGGGGTCCTGACCCCGCTGCCAAGACCCGCTGTGGGCTCTCTCTTTTCTTCTTCAAAATGCGAGCGACCCCCTTGCGTCCGCTGCCAAAACCTCCGCTGTGGTCTGGAGCGACCCTCCGGACCCGCTGCACGACCCCGCTTCGGCTGGTGTTGCTTGCAGCGACCTCTTGACTCCGCTGTGGTTGCTCCGGCTCGCCAAATGACACCTTTGCACCTTCTTTTGGCATGTAACCGACCCCAAACACCTCCAGAAACTCCATAGCATGTTCCATGACCTGATAAAGACAAATGTATGCAATATGCAACCTAAAGGTGCCTAAATCTAATATATATGCTTAACATAAATAAGAATGCAAGGTTAAAACTAGGTAAATATGCAACATATCAAAAACCTACTGAAATACCTTAATTTATATCACTTACAAATGTATATAATTAGATGATCATAATTTTTCCCCAAGCAAAATATTTTTTATGAAATTTATAAATTATTTTAAGAACTAATACACTACAAGAATTTTCCTGAAAGACTTTAGAAAACTTTCTGTGAAAGACTTTAGAAGATATTGGAAGACTTAATTTTAAACAGGAAACCTAAAATTTTATAATTTTAAGCGGGAAACCTAAATTGTAAGCGGAAAATTGTTATTAAATCTTCATTTGTCTTCATAAGTCTTCCAAAACCCCAAAATCAAAGAGGTCAAATATATATAACTAAATCACTGACAAAAACTTTATCAAACTAAATTAAACTTATAAAGTGTTTAATTTACATAAAACTAAACACATATAGCTAATTTTACCTTTTTAAAAAATGTTAAGATTCCACAATCTAATCCTAAAAACACATACAATACTATAACATAGTTACCAAACCATAAACGAAAGAATATTATGACAAACTTATATTCACTCATCTATCTTGAAAAGTATTCATTTTTATTAAAACTATATTTACATCATTTATAAATGTCAATAATTACATAATTAGGATTTTTTACTAACCAAAATATTTTTTCTTAAATTTATAAATTATTTTTAAGATGTACAGCCTAAGAAGACTTTCTCACAAGGTTATAATGGTAAACTACAATCATGTTTTTTTGTTTGGTCATGAGAACATGTTTGTAATTTCACTAGCCTTTTGAGTTATTTTACATTTGATTTGGGTTTGGGTACATTTTTTCATTTAAAATCAAGTTTTGAGTCATATTTGGCAAATCCCTAGAATAAAATCATCTTTGAATTAGTAAACCCTATCAATTAATTACTTATTATTAAAATTATTAATTAAACTATGGAAAATTGAAAAATAAACAAAATATTTTGTATATAATATTATAGAAAAACATATTAAATTTGGGTGGTATGCAAAAAAAAAGAAAAAACTACTTTAAAATAATAATAAATAAGATATATAAGATATTTATGCTGATTATACATGTAGTTATTATAATTTTTGAAATTTTTTATTATTAAGTTATATAAATATTATAGAAAAAATATTATTAAAATTATTATGACTATTGATTATTCTTAAAATTAGGAAAAAGCTGACAAGTAAGAAAATTCACTTATCAAAATAGTATTATAAATTAAGTAACTTTTTCCACTTTTATAATATATGATATAGATCCGTTAGTTGCATGGATTTTTTTTATGCTATTATTATATAAAGAATATAAAAATAATCAATCATTTTATTATCGGTTTAGGATTATTTTTGCATATGTTACGTGAGTTTTATTTTCTAATTAAGAACTCGTTTTCCAATATAGTTTTTGAAACTTTTTATTATTTAATTATATAAATATTATAGAAAATATTTATTAAAATTATTATGACTATTGATTATTCTTAAAATTAGGAAAAACTAACAAGTAAGCAATTTACTTATCAAAATAGTATTATAAATTAAGTAACTTTTGCCACTTTTATAATATATGATTTGGATCCGTGTGTTGCATGGTTTTTCTTTGATGCTTTAATTTTATAAAGAATATAAAAATAAAAAATCATTTTATTATAGGTTTAGGATTATATTTGGATATATTGCGTGAGTTTTATTTTCTAATTAAGAACTCATTTTCCGATATAAGTTCTGGTTAATATTTTTATTTTAATAATACTGGTGCATATGTGACCTTATATCAACTTTGTATTACTAGGTAAAATATCCATACCTAAAGATTTAATCAAAACCAACCCAAAGTAAAAATTAAAGTGAATTTATTTTTAAAGTTAAATAAATCCAGTCAAGTCAATGACAATATCATACTCTTTCTTTTGTACTAATTTAATGTTTGTATCAAATTACTATATGTTATTCTTCTTGTTTAAATATATTCTAATATAATCTTAATTATTTAGTGAAGTTTTTATTGTCATTGTTGGATCATTGAAATGGTTTGTTCATTTGTTATCATCTATATATTTGAGTTTGCGCGGTCTATGAATTTGTAGTTGTTCAACCGATATCAATCATTTTGGATAATCATTTTTATCATGTAATTAGTGATAATGAAACCATCAATACATGCATCTTATAGCCACACAAATTTATGTGTATGTTGAAAACCGTATGCCTGAATCTTGATTGGTTAATGAAGTAAAGACGCTGTTTAATTCTATAACCAAGAAGTATGTAATTACCAGAGTTGCATCATAAAATAACAAATCAGAATAATTAATCACCCATAGATCTTTTGATTACTATTCTACACCAAAATTAATAAATCATTATGCACCTGCTGAAACACATTTATGATCATGTCATGATACTCATCACTATTGAGTCTAAGATAACAAACCAGAAGATCTTTGAGTTCTTCAGGCTGATTGATACCATTCTCCATGATCATCTCAATCATTGAATCTCTGAAGTCCTTCTTAGGATTGCTCGAGCATTTCACTACTGCAAAGCTTTCATTCTCCATCCCTCCATCTAGCTCCTGCTCCCTTGCCTTCAGTTTAGCCTTCTTCAAGTTTTCAATAGCTTTAACTCTGCATTTTTCAGATGATCTTGGTGAAAAGACTCGAACCTTGCTGCTTTTTTCTTTTGTTCCTAGCTCCCTTCTTAGGTACATAGATTTCCTCTGTTTGTCAGCCTTCAGCTTCACTTCGCTTAGTTTTGTTTCCTTGAGATGCTGCCACTGGTGAGCCACAAGAGTCTCTCTACTGTTACTTGCACCTGTCCTTCTCGTTGGTTTTTTTACCTTGACCTCTGCTTCCTGTTCTGGTCTCTTTGGCTTTTGTTCAAGAAGCTTTTGATCACGTCTCTCACATCTCTGCTGCCTATCCCTGTTTATCTGAATTCTTGGCGTCATGATCACTGTTTCTTTGTCTCTATCCATTGCCTCTACTTCCTGAAAACTAGGCCTCTCTCTTTGGAGATCTCTTACTTTCTTCCTCACACTGCTCATTATCTCTTCAAACTTCTCATTAGATTCCATATTTTCTGATCTTGTTGCAGCGTTCTCCTTCTCCGCTGATACTCTTTGTACCCTTTTGCTTCTCTCATGAATATCATTTCGACTTTTCATAGAACTCAAGGAAGATTTTGAAGACATCTTTTGGCTAGCTTCATCATCTTGCTTCTTCTCTTTTACAGGTTTCAAGTCAGAAGAACCACTTAACTTTGAAAACCAAGAAACAGGATTAGCACGAGAAAACCCTGAAGAAGAAGCAGAAGAAACAGGTTTCCTTTTCCCCCATTTCATCATCCCAAATGATGTATAAGAATCTGAAAACAATATGATAAAAAGTGTAAGGGATGTATCTAGAGGTTACTGTTGTTATATGGTTAGGACTTTGTGTTTAATAGGGAGATGAAAAGATGTTGTCTTAACGGGTAGATGCTAGTTGCAGTTTGAGAAAAAAAAAAGAGAACCAAACCCGCCTGAAGAATCCTGTGACCACTTTTAGCCTAAGTATTGGTTTTTGTAATCTCTGGGTATGTTATGGAATTAAATACCAAAGTAGGGGACCAGTTTATCAATGAAAAAACAAAATTCATTGATGACAAAGACTTAGGCTCTCTCTTTCTCTTCTTTCTGAGTAACGTGACAAACCCAAGAACCACAAGAATCATCCTATCTTTTAGTTTGTAGTAGCTGTCTTAACATTAGCTCACGGACTAAATTGGCTATACAATGGTTATATTCATATCACTACATCCTTAGTCATTTAGGAAAACCGGTATAAAATCAGCCCGACCAGTATAACAATATGATTGGTACTGGCCCTTGTCTCTCCTGGTCCTAGACTGAGAGATATTATAATCATGAAGAAGGTAAAGTTACAAAATTTAGAGTTATCTGGAAGTTAAAGATTTTGTGAAGTTGATGTGTGGTCCTGACTTAGAAAAACAGCTAAAATCTTTCCATAAGGATATATCACCTACCTTGAGGTATGGTTTGTGTCATCCACCACCAACTTGTCCATGATTTAAATTTAATTTTGTTGACTTTTATTTTTTGTTTTTTTTTTCTGTCGTAATATACCAATAAAAAATTGTGATATAACAGGTTTTTGTTATTATTTAAATATTTTTTGTTGTTTCTCTTATATTGTAAAGACTTGGCATTGAAGCATTATCAAATTTACTAATTTAAGGCTCTTCTACTTTCCCATCTGAAGAGGGATATTAGAAAAGTTACCCATTTTTTTTTATAGATTATGTAGACTTGAAATCATAATATTTATATTAGTTTTCTTTAAACGCCATTTGATTTTGTGATTTAAACTGTGCCTATTGTATTATTCTAGCTAAGCTATTAACATTTTTTTTTATTCGGGAAAGAAAACAAGCTGTATTAACATTTTTGGTTCGGATATATCATCTTTCTCACTACGAAATAACAAAACTATATATTAGATATGAAAATTTAATTTCAGATGAGCTCTTATGATTTTTGAAGACTAACCATATTGTTATTTTTTTTTTTTTTTGGTCAAAGACTAACCATATTGTTAAAAGAGACAAGACGTTATTGTTTCACGATTATTTCAAACTTGTTGATAGCGATACGAACGCATTGTTGTTTTATTGATAAAGAAAAGTAAATGTTGTAAACTAATTTTATTTTAATTGATATAACTACATTTTGACCCTTGATTAAAAAAGTAAACAATTTAAAAAGAATTTAATTTTTTATGAAAATATAAATTAAATACTCCATTAATTTAATTCATTTTATATTAAATAAAATTACTTTGCAGCATCTAAACCCCAAATTATTGTTATACTTATTTTTGTAATTTTTTTCATAAATGAATTGAATGTTTAAGCCAATTGATCGAAAATGAGAGAAAATTAAAAAAAAAAGTTATTAAAAATGTAGGATCTAATATTTATATTGTTTGGATACAATATTAATTATTGTGTTGTTTGGAAACACATTTAGTGGTAGTATAAGAGAAAAAAAATTCATTAATTTGGGTTGGTTTAACTATATAATAGAAGAATGTATTTAATGTAAAACTTAGAGAAAATAAATTAGGTCTATGGAATGAATTTTGTTTTAATAAGAATTATACCCAAAGATTGGTGTGGGACCATTGAAGATAAAGATTCATGGGACTATTGGAGAGGCATGGTGGCTTGGCTTGTGGCGTAGCCACATGCCCTTAACACTGCGCTACAGGCATGTTTGAGAAGGCACCCACGTTTAATGGGCCATTCACGCTTAATGGGTCATCCACGTCCGTTCACTCATTCTGTGGGCTCCATCCATCAGACAGTCGGTTCGAAAGTCATGTTTACTGACCATGAAATCACTACTCAACCTTTTTGTGTGCTTTACTCTCACACGTACGATATCACGAATCACTTCCCGATATGTCACTCATCTTTTCACTACTCCAATTCAAGTACGCTTAACCCTAGAGTTCTAAACCGATGTGTGATGGAATGAGCCAAAAGACCAGAAAAGGATAGTCACATAGGGGCTGATGGAATCGATAATGATGGTTGGGCCTAGGCCATAGGCGGAAAAGTCCTAGAAGTCTAGGTTAATTTTTGATTATTACATTATAGGTGATATTAGCGTATGACTTTGTATTATATGATTGAGATGAGTTTGTAGGATCCTAGAATCTACCATCACTAAGTTATCGTAACTACTCACCCATATTTTTGTAGGTTTGTTCAAGAATTTGTAGGAGTATAAGTCTTGGTGTGATGTTAAACTTATGGGGATTGAAGATAAAGATTCACAGGACCATTGGCAAGGCATGGTGGCTTGGCTTGTGGCGTAGACACATTCCCTTAATAATGCGTTGCAGGCATGTTTGAGAAGGCGGTGTAACGCCCTGACCACCCACGCTTACTGGGCAACCCAGTCATTCAGCCCATAGGCCTCACTCGCAGGGTATAACGAATCACTTCCCGAAAGGTTATCCATTCTTTCACTACTCCAGCCCAAGCAAGCTTAACATTGAAGTTTTAAATGGATGTGTGACGGAAAAGATAAGCCAACTTTGGTGACATAGATAGCCAAATCAATTCTCTTAAGACTTTTCATATACCACAACTCGGGGTGTTACGATTCACCGCCTCTCAAAGAACGCAACATCTTCATCACGCCTCACGATAGGTCTCAAGACGCCTCTTGGGTCAGAACCGAGATTGCTAACCAGCTCTGATACCACTTGTAACGTCCCGACCGCCTACTGCTAATAGGCCACCCATGCCCGTTCAATTGGCTCGTGAGCCTATTCCATCCGACTGCCGGTGAACTAATTTTTCCAAGGTTTGATAATCATGTTTACTGACCCTGAAATCACCACCCGACCTTTCCCCATTTTCCCATGCTTTATCCTCACTCGCATGGTATCGCGAATCACTTCCCGATAGGTCACCCATCCTTTCAATACTCCAGCCCAAACACGCATAAACCTGGAGTTCTAAACAGATGTGTGACGAAAAAAGTAAGTCAAATTTAGTGATATAGATAGTCAAATCAATTCTCTTAAGCCTTTCCATATACCACAACTCGAGGTGTTACGGTTCACCCCCTCTCAAAGAATGCAATGTTCTCGTCGCGCCTCACGATAGGTCTCAAGAACTCCCACAAACAAATAGGATATTTTTCTGTAGACATAAAACTTAGGACGTCGTCCATGTCAAAAGCACCATAATGGTTGGCACTGGTTGAGTTGAAGATGCAACAATAAGACTCGGCAGAGAGAGAAGGTTTATCCAACCACGAAACTCATCTTGAGGAGCACATATCATGTTATACAAGGAAAATACATGAAGTTGCGACTTCACATGTGATATTGATGATTGGATTCTTAGATAGTGTAATAGCAAAATCTTCTTTTAAGGTCTTTGATCAACTAAAGAAAGAGTTGATTGGTTAAGGTACTCTCTGGTTGAAACTGGGAACGATAATAGCTACCACTCGAACATAGTGATGTACCTGCACGAGGCTTACATGGGTGATACATGCTCAAATTAGCCTAAGAAGCATTTACTCTCTCAAATAAGACATATATTGTACTACTTAGAGATCGAATCCACAAGGAGCTAAGGAACCACTTAAATCTAATCAAGCAATAATACTAGGTGAATGTTAAATGTAAACTCACAGTAAACAAGTAAACAGGAAATAGTAAATATTCTAATTGAGCAAGACAATTACTCGACAGAATGGAATGAGGGGTTTTGAACTTAAAAGGAAAGGTGTTAGGATTAGGGCTTTTATTCAGGTGTTAGAGATTATAAACCTATAGGTGCTAATTAGTTGTTTGCATGGTATTCAAGAGCTTAACTATCTTAACAACATATTTACTAAACTTTCCCTTAATAAATAAGTCTATTGACTAGAGTGTTATTGACCCAAACAAGAATGTCCGATCAATACAGTGTCGATCGATTATTCTATAACAATTTCAGTCGATACACTTTACTCGACGTCGATCGATTTCCAATGAGAATAGCGATTGATGCGGCTAGTCAAGCGTTATACGCGAGTTAATCTGCGCTCACTATGGATCCTATAGATCAAGCGTTCGCCTTCTATCTAGTAAAAATTCTATATTAATCATGATGTATTCAAGACTATCAGAGTTATTTAAAGATGTTTAAACAGCCTAACAATCCTAGATTCATGTTTCTAGTTAGCAAATTAGAACATAAGCATTAAGAACATCCTATTAATGAATACCACAACAAGCGATCCTATAGTTGGGGCTAATCCCACTAACCTATTTAAACTCTAATTCTAACACGTGAATTACTCAGACATGGTTAAGCAAATCATAACACAAGCAAAGTAATAAAACTGCATAATTATAGATAGATGGAAAGCAATGGAGTTCCAATCACAAATCTCTCTGTTGATCTTTTCTCCCAAACTATAAATCTTTAAAAACCTTTTGCTTTGAAAAGAATACAAAAAAACTCTCTCTCTCTCTCTTCCTTTAACACTTTGGCAAAGTATATAAACTTAGGTTAAAACTTGTCAGGGGTATAATCGTAATTTGACGAAGTTTGGACTTCAAGTCGACTGTCTCGCAAATTGGTCTTCCGCGCCTTCAGCATCGATCGATTATGCAGAGTGCATATCGATCGACGTGAATCACTCTGTGTCGACCTCGTTGTCTTGGTTGATTCCGAAATCGAGTGATTTCTCCAATTCTCTCTAAAATGCTCCAAAAATATCACTTTCTTCCAAAATACTCATGAACCTATAAATATGCTTAAAAGTTAAAAGCTTCTATAGTATAATAAATAGTTATAAAACACCAATATACCATGGCTAAAAGTGGGTCAAAATCATGGTATATCAACTCCTCCAGAATTATCCTTTTGCTTGTCCTCAAGCAAAACTAATAGACAGTCTCTCTGAAAGAGGTTTGAAAAGAGCAGAGACTCACAGATTTGAAACTTTGAAATCATAACCTCTATAATGTTGCAATCCACATCTAAAAAGTTCTTATCACAGAAGTTCACTATGCCATATCCTATCTTAGCAACCAAATTCATCTAGCTAGATACTTTGCAAATATCATCTAACATTCCCCTCAACTAACCTCATCTTTTAACATAAATAAAAGTGCAGGCTTTACCTTGGGAGTATCGATCACATGATGCAAGGATTTTCAAACAAGTATCTGATCTGCAAGTAAAAGTTAGTTCCTATATTTTCTCTCTTCTAATTTCTCTCTTGAGTCAAAATCTTCTTCTAAGACATTGATTATTGACCAAGATTGGACAGGCTTCCATAAAACAAGCCTTAATGGTGGTTGCCACTAAGTCTCGATCACTTCTTTTTTACCTATATCCAAGAATTCATACGAAGTGAGTCTTAATGGTTGTAGCCACCAAGTACCATTCGAATTATTTAGTTGGAATCATTATGAATTCATTAGAGAAGTTTCAGAGGCTATAATGAACTCATTGACAGTCTTCATCGAGTCTCAGCATTTTGAGTATAGGACTAGGTCATGTTGGGTTTCTTGAGCTAGGCAAAAGACTTGTAAAAGGGGTGAAGAAGCTGATGAGTATCAATATAAGGTTGAAAGCAACTTCCATCTCATCTGTTTTTTTTTGTATACATTACATTGATTCACCTTCTTTTTCCTCATGTTCTTTTTGTGGGCACTTCCCGCTAAAGCAAAAATCATGGAGGACTAGAGACCGCTAGATTTCTGTCAAAACTCATACCCTTGGCAAAACTCGTCTCAGTCGACGCATCCTATAATCTTATGCAACCTGAATCTTTTCTCATGCTATGCGATTCCTTGAGAAGTGCAAAAGTTTAATACAACTTTCTGGAATCGGTTTGATTCTTGTCCCACTTTACTGCTTTCTTTGTGTAACTATAAGTTTGATGGTTTTGTTTCAGGTGATCTCAAACGTATTGACATGACCGGGAATCTGCATCAGAAGCGAAGCTGACCATTCTTCTCTACTTGGTAAATATCAACACAATGGTGAGCCCATCTTTGTTTTACCATCTTCCTCGACTTCACACATCCTTTACGATGATGAGCTGTAGATAGTTCTTCTATTACCGGGTAGTTTTGCTGTTTGGCATGGTCTACTTCTCTGGTGAATTCATTGGTTTAGTATGGATTGGTTAACAGTGTCAATCATAGATATGACTGTGTTTGGCTCCTTTTTATCTTGATTTTAAATCTATGAAAGTGGATCAAAAGGTTTAGTGACAGATGGCAGATGTTTTCGTCCTTCATTTGGTCCAAGGCTCTGATCTTAAGGACACAGGGGTGATGACTCGTGTTGGGGTCCGTTTCGTCATTGAACCGTAAGTACACGGAGTCTTCATTTAGAATTCTTACAAGCTCATCATCCTTGCCTAACAAGTTATTACCATTCAGATGTCAGATCAGTTGTTCTGTATCTATCTTTATGGGAAGATGTTGTGTCAATGTTTAGAGGTGTCATCTTGGTTTAAAATAGCGCTCGCTTTGGTCGTCATGGCGAAAAGAGAGGTATTGTGATGTCCTCATCGACTTGACACCTGAAGACAAAGCAACATACACAAAGCGCTCGCTAAGAGATTTCTTAGTAACTTCTATGGTGACCAAAGCGCTGCCTTATCAAATTTAAACTAAACCAAATTGGTTTGTGCACAATTAGGTTATTAAGATCTAGTTTTGTGACTGAAGCTTTGGCTTCACATAGAACTTATCTCCAAACCCTAATCTGACCTTCTAAATAAGAGCTTTACAAGTTTTTTCATAACCCTTTTTGATACTTGAACATGACGTGTAGTAAAAAGATTTTAGTTATTGTTATTGGTTTCAAACACAAAGCAATCGCTTCGTGTCGCCATGGCGCAAGGCGAGAGGCGAGACCCTCATTGCCTTACCTCGCCATGTGCCATTTAATACGAAGGGTGTCATCAACTCAGGTGATAAAACTAAGACTGTCATGTTGGTCACTACTGTGAATCCCAAAATCTTTGGAGGTAAGCATTATCTGTAAATTATATGCAAGATTAACCGATAGTTTGTATTCATAGAGTTAAAATTCTATAAAACATGATCAAGGAAACACTCTTCATCTCCCATGGAACTTGTACGTCAACTCCACCCCAGCGACTAATTTTTATTTCGAGACAACAACTCTCAGCCACTCAGAGTTTACAGCGAGGTAACAACACATTTGGTGGTGATTTTGATCATAAAATAAAATAGCTTACTATCTCCAAATAATAAAAGATTTCACCGAGAGGTTAGACTTCATTCCTTTAACATGTGTAAACAATATTTAATTGTCTTGGAAATTAAACAACCGTGCCATCAGCTTACAGCTCAAGAGGTCCAGTACCCAAGCACCTACCATGTTATGATACCAAAAAAACAACCGATGAGAAACAACTAGCCTCTATTGGAGATCTAAACAAATTCATTCGCACGGCTCAAGAGCACGTGCCAAATAGGTTTCAAACTGAGTTTCAAATATGTTCTTAACTTATAACTAGTTTTATAAATACTACATCAACTATTGCACAGAACAACATGAAGCGGAGTTCATCTGCAAGGCTCGGTTTGTTGAGGTGTTGCAGCAAAATGGCTGGTCCTATGTCTGTTACACTACCTGCAGCAAGAAGCTACACAGATCTGGCCCATCGCTATATTGCAACCAATGTGTGGATCGGAATGTCACTGGTGATGTAAAGTAAGAACTTCATATACACATACATAAGTACACTTAGACACTCAATTTAGAATACACCTCTGTCAGCTTCACGTTTATAACGGACACCGTGTTAAATTGTTGGTTGATGATGGATTTAATACCGCCACTTTTGTGGTCTTCCACAAAGACATGCTAAACTTCACTAACAAAGATGCAGCTATTCTAATTCTTGATGAGGCTAGTTATTTATATCAACGAACATTACTGAGAAATCTTAGGAGCACTAAAATTTCAAACATACTGCATGTTAATGATGACGAGTCCATGAACTCCCACCATGGCTCTCGAAACTTGGAGAAAAAAAATATATTTTCCATATACTTGCATGCCATATAATTTCACCCAGTTAACATTAAAACAGAGAAAACGCACCGTTTTGGTAAAGGCGATTTTGAAGGTGATCGTTGACTTACGTTTTCTCGATGGATTCGGCCACTCCGCCAAGCTCATCTGAACCGCCGAGGCTCAGGTAATGGTGGAAGATACTGTAGTAGCTAAGGAATCATTGGATGTGGGATTGAAGAAAGGAGATTCAAGTTGGGTTGCGGTTGTGATGGATAAGAGAGTTTTGAAGAAATACGAAGTAGAGATCAAATCGAAGGATGATAAGACCAAGGTGGAGATTCCAGATGAAATCTTCTCTGATTCAACACCGTTATGGGAAGAATTTGTCATCGGGAAATTTCTGGATATTGCTCCCCACATAGCTCTAAGGTTCATATGGTGGTAAATTTCTTGATGTATGGTGATTTAAATTATAAAGTGGAGGTATATGATGTGGATGCAAAAAAATGAGATTCAAGATTACTAACCAAAAGGTAAGAGAGAAGGTTATAAAAAGGGGGATGTGGAATATAGCAGAAGTGCCAATGATTGTGAAGAAATGGACTCCGAAGGCTGAAGAAGAGAAACAGGAGGAAGAAGCTATACCGATGTGGGTGCATCTGAGAAAGATACCGCTTAATATGTATTCATGGGAGGCCCTAAGCTTCATGACTAGCACGGTGGGATTTCCAGTTCATCTTCATCCAGAGATAATTGTGTGTTCTAATTTTGAAGAAGCTAAGGTGTTTATCAAAGTTGATGTCTCAAAGACATTACAAAGAGAAACTGACTTTTTATAAGGAGGCAAGGAGTTCACTGCTGAGTTCTATTATCCGTGGTTACCTTCTAGGTGTAGTTTGTGTGAGAAATGGGGTCATTCTGATAAGGTTTGTGGGAGGAAGAAAAGAGAGGAGAAGGTAGATGAGAAAGAAGTTGGTGAAGGAAGTTTGAATGTTAAGGAAGATGGGTCTAAAGATAGTTTCCAGAAGAGTGTTGATAAGGTACCATGACCACCTCTTACTGATGTGGTTGGTAAAGCTGACAATGTCATTCTGGATTCAGGGGGCAAGGAAAGAAATGACTCGTCGCAGGTTCTTCCCAATAAAGTTGGGAGAGCTCAGTTCAAAAACCCACCTAGAGATGCTGGTGAAGTACAAATCTTGGCATCAAAATTCTCTGTGTTATCTTTAGATGAGGAGGAAGAGGGTGAGAATTCTGAGACGCAAAAGGAGGAAAATAATGAAAGTGAGGTAACTGAGACAGTAAAAAAATCTGGACGAAGATTTGTTGGAGGAAAGATTTGTTGGAGGAAGATTTGTTGGAGGAAGATTTGTTGGAGGATCAGTAAAAGTCATTTTTTCTATAATTAACTATTTTAATGTTTTAAACTTTTTTTGTTAAATAAATCCTAATAATAAATTTTTAAAAATTCAGCATTTTTTTCATTTAAAGTTACATTATTTTAGTTTTTAAGTTAATTAGAGCTAACAACATTATTAACATATAGTTATTATATTATAAAGATAAAAGGATAAACTAAAAGTGGTGGGAAGGGTGTTGAATTGTTATAAACACATCTAACACTATTAAAAGGGAGATAATCTCATCAGAGAAGGTGTCCACGTCAATTAAAATCTATATATTAATAGTACACTTTTGAAGCTCCTCAGCGTGTCCACGTCAGCAAGTTTGTGGGTCCCGCGCGTGTTATTAGGGAAAACAAAAACGTATAACATTTTGTAAGATTGAATGTTATTGATGAGTGATGAAATGGCCCAGTGGTATAAGTTGGTGATGAGAAGTTGGTACCGCAAGTGCGCGGGTTCGAATTACAGTTCTTGCATGTATTTTTTTTTTTTTTTTGGGCTTTTCAGAATACCTAAAAGCTTAGGGAGATTCAGAATGATTTGTTATGCTGGTTGTTGGGATACAAAATGGCTTAAGGATTTGAAACTTTATGAGACCATCTTATATACTTTTATAAGAAAGGTTATCATGTTCTAACCTCCAATATCATTTCAATTCAGTTATAATCATCAAATAAAATAAAAACATATTTTTCAATAATAAATATTTACCCTGAACCATTCAGATCGACCATAAATCTCATATACATCACAATTAAAAATATATATATATATATATATATATACAACATAATTTCAGAAAGAAAATTACACTAATAAACACATGTCCTTTTTTGTCTTGTCTCCACTAAATTATTTTTTTACATGAAAGCACTAATAACAGTAATGCTCGATAAAATCACTAAGAAAGGGAATGCTCGATAAAATCACTACGAAGATAAAATATGAAAATATCAACCCATATGAATTCGATGTTTATTCTTTTATCAGACTAATCAAGTTGTGTGACTTCTAATGTTTCATTCGTCATCATTATAGATAAGCTAGATAAACAAATATTAAAAAAAACAGCAAAGTCTCATACACAAAACTACACAACACATCAACAACGTATCCAATCTCCGCGCTTGCGCGGGGACTATGCATCTAGTATTTAACCAATAAAAAAGTTTTGTTATGCCACGTCAGATCAGCTGAATTAGAAAGAGTATTTCGAGTGGGTTCTATAAAAAATGTAATTCAGCCCATTCCCAGCCCAAGACCTATTTCGTGTCAAGTTTTGGGGATCTCTCCCCTTCACTTCGTCTTCTTTGACCTATGGTTTATTGCGTTATCTAAAACCACTCCTGATCATCATCAATGATAATCTTTAAACTCTTCTTCAATACTTGTGGGAACCGAAATCCACCTACTGTCAATAAATCGTAAAAAAGGAAACTTCGGGAAAACCCTAAGTTTCCAGAGGAACCGGCTATCTGCAGAACCGCACAACGAAGATTAAGAAAACGATAAACTTAGAATTTTAAATGAATAAACGAAATTGAGAGCAAAGAGGTTCTTATTCCGAATCTGCGTAAGAACTGGTACAAAAAGAGCAGCAGAAAACTTAAGAACGAAAAACCCTAACTGAGACGCAGCTCGCTAACAGAAAACAGAAATATTCCTAAATGCTAATTTTGGTGGTGAGAGTTCTGAAAATCGTCCCCCAGCTTCTGCCTTATGCCTCTTGCTTATATACTCCCTTCCTAGGCGGTTTAGTCTTTCCATTTCGCCCAGATTCGAGTTTAACGGGAATCTTCCATTTATCTCGATCTTACCTTTTTTCCCGCGGAAATCTTCTTTTTATCCTCAAACTTGACATTTATCTTCAAGTTTGACATTTATCTTCTTTCTGCGAGTAAATTGCCAAAACGTTGTCACATCTTCGGGTTGGACTTCGTTTAAATTCGCGAGTGGCTTTTATCGCGTTTTATGACTTTCCGAGCCGTTTTGCGATAAATCCGTTTTACGACTTTAGACGAGATCGTTTCCTGATACGATGTCGTTTTTAGATAAGTTTCTCGAGTTAATCGTAAAGCTAAGCAATGTTCGATGTTTTGATTAATCGTTTCCGTTTTCTACGATTTACTCGGGATTTTATTAAAAACGCGTTTTATACGATTTTTACGAAAAAATCTTGAATAAATCGTATAGTTTAGGCATAATTCGGTGTACTATTTAACCATTGCCGTTTTATACGATTTCCTCGAGTTCTTTTCTAGAAAACAAAGTTTTACGGTTTTTATCGTAACACTCGAATGATAGGACGGATCGAGACAAAACGGGAGACATTTCGACCGTGATTCGGAATACGATCGTGTCGAAAGACGTATGCCTTGAATCAAGGATGTGGGAGATCGAGGCTCGGGATGGTCGGCTCGACGTACGGCGAACTAGTTCAGCTTGGCCAGGTCGCCATATGGCGAACTAGGCGATAAGAACCTGTGGGGCAAATTCAGTAGTTCTCCTGCTGGCAAACTAAGCCGGCTTGGCTTAGTTCGCCAGCAGGCGAACTAGTCGAGGGAGTCCTAGTTCGCCAGCAGGCGAACTAGCGGAGAGGCTCCTAGTTCGCCTGCTGGCGATCTAAGCAGAGCTGGCTTAGTTCGCCAGCAGGCAAACTAGTGGAGAGCAGGCGAACTAGTCGTGACTAGTTCGCGTTTTGCGGCGGTTTCGGTTTTTCGCGATTTTGTAAAACGATTCTCGAGTTTTATAAAACGATCTTCGAGTTTTATAAAATGATTCTCGAGTTTTATAAAATGATTCTCGAGTTTTATAAAACGATTCCTGAGTTTTATAAAACGATTCTCGAGTTTTATAAAACCATTCTCGAGTTTTATAAAACGATTCTCGAGTTTTATAAAACGATTCTTCGAGTTTTATAAAACAATTCTCGAGTTTTATAAAACGATTCTCGAGTTTTATAAATTGATTCTCGAATTTTATAAAACGTTTCTCGAGCTTTATAAGACAGTCTTCGAGTTTTATAAAACGATTCTTCGAGTTTTATAAAACGATTCTCGCGTTTTATAAAACGATTCTTCGAGTTTTATAAAACGATTCTTGTGTTTTATAAAACGATTCTCGAGGTTTATAAAACGATTCTTCGAGTTTTATAAAACGATTCTCGAGTTTTATAAAACGATTCTTCGAGTTTTATAAAACTATTCTCGAGTTTTATAAAACGATTCTTCGAGTTTTATAAAACGATTCTCGAGTTTTATAAAACGATTCTCGAGTTTTATAAAACGATTCT